TTTGAACCTCATGCGGAATTTCATTCGATACCATTCGATTACGATTCTCAAGAACTGAAGCGTTCACGCGATTTCGAAGAAAGGAAGACCCATATAGTTCACCTTGATGAGATTCCTCCAACAGGGTATAATAATTACTTTTTAGTAATAAGTGGACATCGTTGATATTGTTGACGGAATTCACACCCTCACAATGACCCCATTTCCGTTGATGGAACCAAACGATAACCACTGTTTCTTTCAATTTGCAAAAAGCCTTGATTTCGCACAACGTGCCCCATACGTGATCAGACTTAATGAATTCACAGTACTTTGTGGGGCTATCCAGATGTGAACCATGACATCCTTTAACCTCCTCTGCAAAAGTTGACCAGTTGCTTTGTACATGAAGTATTATTTCTACTTTCAAAGTGTCCCACGATGATTCATCACCAGAGTTTGCGATGGCCAAACATCTATACAAGCATGCCCCATCGCCACTCACAGTTTTATGAAGAAATCGAAATTCTCGCCTCAACTCACCAAGTACAGTCACTCCTGTAAAGATCATCCGGGCAGAAGAATCGGATCTCATGTTGAAACGAGAGGTTCTCGGCTCACAACAATTCCCTCACCCACCACGTTCTCCAATATGTTTCAATTCGAGTTTCAACAGCGATGAACACTTTCGAACCTGCTCAATGTAGATTTTGGAAAAAATGTAATACAATAATTAGATAGAGAGAAAATATAAGTTTAAATTATTCATGCTTAATATTTAGTTGATAAAAAATCATGTACATCAATCTAAATAATCCATGCACAAAAACCAGCTTTACAATCATAGCATTTCTACTTATCCATACTTATCATAGCGTTTTATGTACCTTTCTGCGCATTGTTCGGGATGTTGTCTCTATTAGTCGACTCAATTTTGTCACCATTTGGAAGAGTATAACTTGCACGCTCTTCCTCCGTCAGACTTCGAAACTCCATATGTCTCATAAAACGAAGGACTCCTCCCTTCATAAGCACCCTACCCCTACCTAGTACTAACTTTCCACCTCGCATTATCCCCGTCCATCCCTTCGCATAATATTCACTCTCTCTTCTTATTCTCAGCCTCCCTCTTAAACCTGTCCCTTGCGGATTCGCTTTTCTGTTTCGGAGGCATCTCGAGGATACGACCAACGCCTTACCTGAAGAAACGAAAATTCAGTACTTTAAAGCGAGAGCCACACTTGCTGCTATAGGGACTACACAATTGGGGAAACAATAATTTACGTACCGTCGAATTAGTGACAGTGAGTATCAAATATTACCTGAACACTAAAACCCTAGATGTTCGGTGACAATGGATATCAAATCTGAATAATCACCTTGGCAGCCAAATAGATAAACGAAAACATCTAAGCCACACAAAGTCAAGAGACATCCTATACGAAATTTAGAGGTAAGGTAGAAACAGAATGAAACTCACATAGAACAAACAACAGAAGAAAACAAAGTAAAACGCACATTAAAAGCGATGGGTATCGAACCCTGACGTTCAGCTTGTACAAAAACCGATGACCCACAGGACCCGAAACGCACCCTGTACAAAATATGATAAATGTAACTTTTTGAAAGCGCGGAATGTGTATTGTGAATGTGTAGCGAGGGCCAACGCAGCAAGGACAGCGTCGAAGCGCTACTCACCCTCTTTTGCCTACAAAAGAGGGACGTGAGGCCATTCAACCTCACCCACGTTCTTCATTTCTAGTTCCAGTTTCGTTTTCCCCACCCACCCACCCTATTTGTAGGTGTAGTCTATTGGACGAGAACCATGTACGCAATCCCATATGAAATGAAGCACGCTGCCTTTGCCAAGATGACCCAAGCAAGCTTTCACAATCAGAAGAAAACAGAGGGAAACACCATATCAGTTGCCAGAGGTATCAAACCCGGGTGATCATCTTGACTCACACCCGATCGAGCAGACCGCTCAATAAAAAGAACTCAAGAAATAGTATGCACTAAACGTTCACCCATAAACAAGATCAAGCTCACATCAAACAAACAGTAGAAAGCAAGAAAAAAAAAGAGAGCAAAACGAAACGCGAAAGACATCGTTATAGGTGCTCACCTTGCTAGAGACACACAATTGAGCAGACCGCTGAGCCACAGAACACCCTATACGTGATGTAAGCATAAAATATAACAAAATTCACATAGAACAAATAACAGAAGAAAGGTGAGAATTAGAGCTTATTAGGTGACAACAAGTATCTAAACCAGGTAATTACCTAAGCCAAACTCGATCGAGCAGACCGCTCAGTCAAACAAGTCAACAATCTGCACTTCATGTGGACATAAAAACTAAATGAAATCAATCGAACAAACAACAGCAGAAAACAGAGAAGAAAACAGTCCAGTATTAAAAAAATAAAGACAAGGGTATCAAATCCTGCTGCTCACCTAGCCAATGAACGCAGTGAACCGCTGGTCCTTAGAAATCAAGAAATAGGCTGCACGTAATATTCACAAAGGAAAAACAACTCAAGAAAATTGGAAACAAAGAAATACTCTCAGTGAGTATCGAGTCCGAGTGTTTGCATCAACTAACTCAGTCGACCAGACCAGTGACCAAACAGAGACAATAGTAGGCCAACAAAAATCAAAACAATAAATAAATACAATTCACAATAAAACAAAACAGAGAAAACAGACACAATTTTGAGGACCAGTGGAAATCGAACCCGAGAGATCACTTACCAACCAGATGAAGAGCTGCTAAACGAGAACTCCGAGATGTGTATTATATTTTATTAAAAAATAAAGTTCAAATAGTACAAACAATATAACTATCAGAATTGAAGAAGCGGTTAGAATGAGAGAGTACAGGGGTATATAGCCTAGAGTGTTGTACCCTCTAAGGCACAAACCTATATTGTTTATACTAACATACTTTGATATGTTTGACACACCCCCTAGACAATATAAGGGCAGTGCCTAACAGGAAAACACGAAGCTCAGGGTGGCACTAGTAGTCCAGCCACTGAGGCAAGGGTCAAAGACCAGTCAAAAAAAGCACAGGCACGACAAGTGACCAGGGTGGCACTACTAGTCCAACCACTGGGATAGGCCACAAGGCCAGTCAGGGTAAAATATACAAAGGTCAGTACATAGTCAAGGCCCTAGCAGGTGAGATGCAACAGGGACTAGACCTAGCTGTACACAGTGCCGCTGATGATCTTTAGGCGCAAGCGCCTTCGTAAAGATATCAGCTGTGTTGGCACCGGAAACCAAGTGTACTACGCGGGCCTGGCAACGCTGCTGTAGCTCACGCATAAGGAAGTACCGCAGCTGAATGTGCTTCGCTCTGCCCTCAAGTCGAGGCTCCTGACACAGGAGGATCATGGCCCTGTTGTCCGCGTACAGGACTGGGGAAGAGCTAGGCCGCTCACCTAAGTCAGTGAGCAAGAAGGTCAGCTAGCGGAGCTCCTGTGCCGCCATGGCACCGGCGTAGATCTCAGCCTCACAGCTGGACTGAGCGTCAGCGTAAGTGCGAGGGGTCGGGATGTCGAAAGCGTCTGGGTCACCCTCAGGGACTAGCAGCATGGAACAGAGATGTGGAGCAGCCTCGGACAGGAAAGCAAGCTCGTACTGGCGGTCCTCCATGACGTTACTGCCGAGGGCAGGAGCACCCCCGACAGACCTGACAGGCAGGGTCAGAGACCAGAGCGGTGGTGTAGTCAAGGCGGCGGGTAGAGGCGAAGTCAGCTACCGCAGCGACAAGAGCATCAAGACACGAGACCGGAACAGACGGGTCGGTAACGAGAGAGGCAAGGACCCGAAGGACAAGAAGACGAGCGGCACGAAGGTAGTCAGACAGAGGGGGAGGCGCAACAACAAGGGAGGACGGAGGAGGCGACGCGAGTGAACGAATCAACATAGGGTGAGAGCACGGGACAGGGGAGATAGGGCGAGCACGGGAGGTACGGAGAGACCAGACGTGAGACCGAGGAGTCGGGTCAGGAGACAGGGGAGGGGACACAAGAGGGGAACGAGGAGGAAGATGAGCCGGAGTCGAGTCCGGGGGAGGAAACACATGGCCGTAGACAAGAAGAGGAGAAGACGGAAGGAGTGGCACAGACGCGTGGTCAGGCGACGGAAGGCAGACCAGGCGAAGGGCTGACACCGGCGGCGACTGCTTCTGCGGCAGCACGACTCCAACACCGGATCCGCAAGCTGCTCCACGGCTACCTCCAGAACACTCTACTCCAGCACCCCCAGAAGGAACACCCCCAGAGCCCGAAACTCCTCCACCACCCGTGCTATTTGCTGACGTCATCCTACAGACTTATCTTCTACAGTAGGATTCGACACTAACTACACTTAATCGACTTACAGAAATGCTACGTATCGATTATACCACAACAGTTCCTACTGCCAAAATTCGTGATCGGTCTGGACTTGGGCGATATTTCACCGACACCCATACCCTTAAAGCCCAGATCCCAAATTGGTCTAGCCCGCATCAAATTGAGCCCAGTTTGATGCTGACCGAGTTCGCGTACCCAATGAAACAAGAGCCGACACAATCGTGTTAGGGTTGCAGAAGTCCTTTCGTTGGTGCATATTCGTTTGCACGTCATCCTGTCGTCTGTTCGCATCATTTTGTTGCATGTGTTTTGTGTGCCACGTTGTTTGTGTGGTTAGTTGGGTTTGAATATATTTGCATATTCATCTTGTGCTTGTGCAGATGTGCTTGGATTGTGCATGACATCGAGCACATTCCAACGAGCCAAGAATTGTTGGAATCGGAGCACATATGAAGAAGTTACGAAGAAATGTTTGATGGATTTGTTACAACTCATTGGAAGTCCTTGGCAGCTGTTACACCAAAGTTGGAGAGCCCTATAACGAGGAGGGACCAGCATGTGTGGGAATTTTGTCCTCACCTTGCAGCTGCAGCATTTGGGGGTTGGAGGCCAACCTGGCACAGTGTGAATTTTGTCTTGCCAGGCTGGTTGAACCTGAGGATGGGGAGTCAAAACTTTGACTCTTGTCATGTTCTTGACCATGGGCCTCCAGGGTCCTTCCCTTTCATCCTTCCCTTCCTACCCCACCTCCCAACTGTGCTTCAATGCCTTTTCTATCATGCCATTGAACTTGTAAGCTTGAATTATAGTGACTCTGAGGACTGTCAACTTCTCCTAGGGCAGATTACCCCCCAGTGCGCCAAACGCCAAAGCTCACTCGTTAAGCTACGGAATCGAGTGAATCAACTTTCAGTGGAAAGCTGATGCTGCAAGCTACAAAATATCCGATTTTCATATCGTTTCACCGATTGGAGTTTTGGATATAGCTTTTCGAAGGTCGCGAGTTTTCTGGGCGTCATAACGAAGTGCTGCAGAAATTTCCAAGCCATTGAATCATCAGCTTATAGCCTTCTCTAACCAACTAGTGGTATCAGAGCCCATTATCACGCATTTGGGACCTAAAATACGATGGGAGATAAGGAGGACTCTGGTGGAGGTGATACTTCAGTCCAAGGAGGCAGCTCAACCCAAGATTCTGGCATTGCAGCGCAAAGGGGAGCGCGTACAAGCCAGGGGTCACTGCTTAAGGAGGTGCTGAAGAACTTCACCATTGACAAGTTCTCTGGTGATGGCTATGATAATTGGGCATGGAAGATTTAGCTATACTTTCGACAAATTGGCCTCTTGAAGCTCATGATTGGAATGGAGCCAAGGGCAAAGAAAATGGCAGAGCAAGCGGACAGGGATGAACGTTCATCTGCTGGGTATTATCTACTGTCACAAAGCTTGGAGCTGAACCAGAGGCATCACATCATGCATCTGCTACCGGAAACTGATTGTGGGCCCAAGGCATGGGCAGTGCTCAAGGACCTGCACGCTCCGATATCGGTTGCCGCTTCTCTCATGCTGGATCGGGAGCTGTCCATGCTGTGGTTGAGCGAGAATGAACCTGTGCAGCCCGTACTGGACAAGATGAGGGAACTCTACGAGAAATTGGCGATTGCTGGCATCACGTACCCCGAGCAGACTAAGTGTCTCAAGATGCTCAGCCTGCTGCCTGGGTCTTGGCTGCAATTTATAAGCGGACTCAGCTTGCCACAAAACCAAAGTCAATGGACATTGGAGTGGATTCGCACCAAGATTCTGGAAGAAGATTTTCGTCGCTATACACTGCGCGGAGGTGATGACAGCACCAGCGGCTATGCCATGCAAGGGACATGGAGGGATCGAGGGCGTGGCAATCGCGGTCGCTCTTACCACAGCCAAGGTGGTCGCGGGACTTGGAACCAGCGGGGGCGTGGTGGCGCTGGTGCAAGAGGAAGAGGTGGTCACTCCAACAATGACAACAGTGAACCACGCTTGAGGGGAGAGTGCTGGTATTGCAAGGAAGAAGGGCATCCATGGTTTCGCTGCCCTACCAAGCCCGACTAGTGGACCCCTTGGAACCAATCGCAGAAGGGGAATGGAGGAAAGCAACCACATGGAGGTGCCAACATGGTAGCTGATCCTGCTGAAGAAACCTCCAAGGATGACAGAGGAATGGGAAATGAGGAGAGGAATGCTGGACAGTTCTACCATGTGTGTGACAAAGATGACAGTGGCACAGCTGTTGCAAGGGCTGGAGAGGAATGGCACCCGCTTGACATGTGGGTCATGGACTCTGGTGCTGCATGGACAATGACACCACGCAAGGACTTGCTGGATGCTGTGCGAGCGCCTCCAATCTCCAAAGTGCGCTCAGCATCCGGACATGCAGTGAAGGTCGCTGGAGTTGGTTGAGCTGCATTCAGAGCACCTGATGGTGGACTGGTTGGGCTGAAGGACGTGTTACTCGTACCGGGGCTGAAGGCCAATCTGATATCGCTGCGCAAGCTAGGCCAGGCCGGAGTCAGCACCACCACCAATGGATCCAAAACATTCAAGGGGCTGCGAGGAGATCGTGAGTTATGGGATTTACATGAAAGCAGAGATGTCTTCAGATCCATGTGGCACATCCCTGCGCTGATATGGGAATCAACAAAGAAGGAGTTGGGAGCAGTAAAGGCGGGATCTGGAGTCCAGGGAGAGTGCAATGCAGTTAGTGCTGCAGGAGTGACGGTTTCTGCAAGGTCGGGGGAGACTGATTGGGAAACCGCACACAGGCGTCTAGGGCATGTGGCTATGCCATTGCTGCAGCAACTGCATAAGGAAGAAGCAGTAAAGGGGCTGAAGCTTTCTGGGCAACCAAATGATACCAAGTGCAAGACATGTCTGCTGAGCAAGTTCACACGGTTCCCCTTTCACGGCGTAGCTGGGAAAAGCAAGGCAGCACTGGAACTGGTGCACATGGACCTGGTAGGACCTTTTCCAGTTCAAGGAAGAAAGGGGGAAAGATACTTCCTAACAATAGTTGATGACTGGAGTCGGCTGATGTGGGCATACACCGTTGAAGCAGAAGGATTATGCTGCCTCAACAATACGAGATGACTGGCTGCCGTTCGTCGAGCGACAATCTGGGCACCCATGCAAGAGCATCAGAACCGACCGAGGTGGAGAGTTTCTGGGAGGAGATCTGACTGCGTGGCTCAAGAAAAACAAGGCATTGACCATCAGCTAACGACGTCCTATACCCCTCAGTCAAATGGCGTTGCTGAGAGGGCTAATAGGACCATCCTGGAAACTGCGCGAGCGCTGCTGATCGAATCAGGGCTGGGGAACTCCATGTGGCCTCGTGCGATGAGGCATGCTGAGGCATGCTACAGTGGCAAGGAACCGCGTACTCACAAAGGTGGCTGATGATATGTGGGTGCCGCTGGAGAGGTGGCTTGGAAAGAAGCCTCCAGTGGACAGGCTTAGAGTGTTCGGATGCATGGCAGTGGCGCATGTCCCTAAACCGTACAGGACAAAGCTTGGAGCATCTGCACTGTGGTGTGTGCACCTTGGGCTTGCGGCAGAGAGCAAGGGGTGGCTACTCTGGAGCCCTCAAAGAATGTGCTGTTTGACAATCGGGATGTCAAATTTGTGGAGAACATCATGTATGGCAAGTGGGAGAAGCAGCCGGAGGCAAGGGTCACCCAGCAGCTGGAAGAGATCACTATGCACTTCGATCTGTCCGAACCTGAGGACAGCGAAGTCACTGCGCCAACGGCAAGCGGTACTGATGAAGGAAGCAATGAGGATATTGCAGCTGATGCTGAAGTCAAGGATCTGGAGCAGCAGCAGCAAGAGGCTTCCAAAACACCAAGTCTGCCAAAGCGAAGGAACCAGTTTGGTGGGGGGACAAAGGATTGGGTGAAGGTGAAAGAATGGGTAAATCCAACCATCTACCCTGCATGTACCAGAATGGCAACAAGAAAGCTGCTGAGCTCTACAAGTGGAGGAGCCACAACAGAGCAGCAGGAACAGGCTCAAGGCGAAAATGCAGTGCTGTTCTTGGGTGATGACCAAGAGTCAGATGACGAGGAGCCTGCATACTGCTTTTACGCACCAATACAACCTCCGAGCATGGATCATGCGCTGGCCGGGCCTCAACGGGGGAAGTGGCTCGTTTCAAGAGATGCAGAGTACAACAGCCAGATGGAGAATCACACATGGGACCTTGTGTACTTGCCAAATGGGAAGAAGGCAATACAGTGCAAGTGGCTGGCAAAAATCAAGACGGATGAGAAAGGAGAGCCATCAGTTTACAAGAGCAGGCTGGTGGCAAAGGGGTTTCAGCAGAAAGAGAAGGAAGATTACAAAGAAGTGTTTGCCCCAACTGCTAATTCTCCAACGCTACGTGTGCTGCTGGCGGTAGCTGCTGTGCGCAAATGGAAGGTGAAGCAGATGGACATTGTAACCGCTTTTCTGTACGGCATTGTGGAAGAGGAGGTGTACATGGTTCAACCACCTGCCTATGAGGATGGAACCGGTTGTGTCTGCAAACTTAGCCAGCGCCATCTATGGCTTGAAGCAGGCCCCGAGATGCTGGTACAGTAGGCTGGCCAGTGCACTGGAAGGGATTGGATTCCGTGCGAGTGCATGCGACGAGAGCCTATTCCTGATGGGCGAGGGGGAGTCGCTTGTGCTTCTGCTGGTGTACGTGGATGACATCCTGCTCTTCAGCAGCAGTGACAAGGAGATCGATGGGGTGCAGCGGAAGCTCACAGAGCAGTTCAAGTGCAAGTCACTTGGAGAGGCAAGGTACTACCTGGGAATGCACATTGAGCGGGATACTGAACGTGGCTGGCTCAAACTGCATCAGGGACAGTACATCCACACCTTGGCTGAGAAGTACTCTCTGCAGGAAGAACAGATAGTGGTCACACCTTTGACTTCCGAGTTCAAACTCATAAAGGCAGCTGAAGGAGAAGGAGTTGAGAGTGAAGACCAGAGGCAATTCCAATCCATGGTCGGGAGCCTACTCTACGCTGCTGTGCATACTCGGCCTGACATCAGCTTTGCTGTGGGACAGCTGGCTCGAGTAGTGCAAAATCCAACAGAAGAGCAGTATGGTGCAGCGGAGAGAGTGGTGTGCTACCTCAACTCATACCCTACAGTGGGAGTACAGTATTCCGCCTCTGCTCAACTCAGTCAAAAAGGAGTTGAAGTCCTCAAAGAGAAGGGGGAGCAGCTCGGAGAAGGAAAGGTGTTCCTTTCCTGTTTTGCTGATGCCACATGGGCTTCTGAGCATGAGGATTCATCATCAGTAGGGGGATACATCTGCATGGTAGGAGGTGGGCTTGTAAGTTGGAGGTCCAAGAAGCAGTCTGAGATGGCACTATCTTCAGTGGAATCTGAGTACATGGCGATGTTTCATGCGGCAAAAGAAATCATCTGGCTAAGGAGGCTCTTGAAGGAGATCGGCTATGAACAGACTTGTGCGACACCTCTGTTTAGTGACAGCAAATGAGCCATTGCCATTGCACGCAATGCAGTTCTTCATGGGTTGAACAAGCACATGAGGATCAAGTGGCATTGGCTGCGGAAGGAGGTGAAGCTTGGGACACTGGATCCGATCTACGTGAAAACTCAGCAACAGCCAGCCGACTTTCTTACCAAGCGGGTAGCTGAAGAGCCACACTGGCGCTGTTCGAGGATGGCGGGAATGTCCTTGAACTAGAGACGGCAAAACAAGCCGACAGTCTGAGGGGGAGTGTGTTGGTGCATATTCGTTTGCACGTCATCCTGTCGTCTGTTCGCATCGTTTCGTTACATGTATTTTGTGTGCTACATTGTTTGTATGGTTTGCTGGGTTTGCATGTCTTTGCATGTTCATCTCATGCTTGTACAGATGTGCTTGGATTGTGCATGACATCGAGCACATTCCAACGAGCCAAGAGTTGTTGGAATCGGAGCACATATGAAGAAGTTACGAAGAAACGTTTGATGGATTGTTACAATTTATTGGAAGTCCTCGGCAGCTGCTACACCAAGGTTGGAGAGCCCTATAACAAGGAGGGACCAGCATGTGTGGGAATTTTGTCCTGACCTTGCAGCTCCAGCATTTGGGGTTTGGAGGCCAACCTGGCATAGTGTGAATTTTGTCTGGCCAGGCTGGTGAACCTGAGGATGGGGAGTCAAAACTTTGACTCTTGTCATGTTCTTGACCATGGGCCTCCAGGGTCCTTCCCTTTCATCCTTCCCTTCCTACCCCACCTTCCAACTGTGCTTCAATGCCTTTTCCATCATGCCTTTGAATTTGTAAGCTTCAATTATAGTGACTCTGAGGACTGTCAATTTCTCCTAGGGCATATTACCCCCCAGTGCGCCAAACACCAAAGCTCACTCGTTAAGCTACGGAATCGAGTGAATCAACTTTCAGTGGAAAGCTGATGCTGCAAGCTACAAAATATACGATTTTCAGATCGTTTCACCGATTGGAGTTTCGGATATAGCTTTTCGACGGTCGCAAGTTTTCTGGGCGTCATAACGAAGTGCTGCAGAAATTTCCAAGGAGCCATTGAATCATCTGCTTATAGCCTTCTCTAACCAACAAGTGGTATCAGAGCTCATTATCACGTATCTGGGACCTAAAATACGATGGGAGATAAGGAGGACTCTGGTGGAGGTGATACTTCAGTCCAAGGAGGCTGTTCAATCCAAGATTCTGGCATTGCAGCGCAAAGGGGAGCGCGTACAAGCCAGGGGTCACTGCTTAAGGAGGTGCTGAAGAACTTCACCATTGAGAAGTTCTCTGGAGATGGCTATGATGATTGGGCATGGAAGATGCAGCTCTACTTTCGACAAATTGGCCTCTTGAAGCTCATGATTGGAACGGAGCCAAGGCCAAAGGAAATGGCAGAGCAAGCGGACTGGGATGAACGTTTATCTGCTGGGTATTATCTACTGTCACAAAGCTTGGAGTTGAACCAGAGGCATCACATCATGCATCTGCTACTGGAAACTGATTGTGGGCCCAAGGCATGGGCAGTGCTCAAGGACCTGCACGCTCCGATATCGGTTGCCGCTTCTCTTATACTGGATCGGGAGCTGTCCATGCTGCGGATGAGCCAGAATGAACCTGTGCAGCCCGTACTGGACAAGATGAGGGAACTCTATGCGAAATTGGCGATTGCAGGCATCACGTACCGTAATCCCCCAGAGATAGGCGCATATGTGCTTATAGGGATAAGGTTCAAAAAGCAGCATGCGGTAGTAATCGAATAAAAGTAATAAACCCATGTGCTAATACGAAGGACTACATGGAAAATTGTTTTGAACACACTACAATGTAGCTGGGTTTATTTGGATTCCAATAAAACCGTCTTCAAAAGGGTACGCGCGGAAATATCGCGCGTAGTATCTGGCGAAAGTTTCGCCAGCACACCTATGCTGGGAAGGCAGGATATGGACCAATCATAGGCAAGAATGATCAGGAATCTAGCTGGCGAGGTACTTGGGAGGGCTGCGAGAGTGCTGCAGGAGATATGGAAGTTTCGCAATTCACCTGTTTTTTAATAGTAATTCAATGCGCTTATAGGGAATAGATTTTCTAAAAAAAAGGTGCGCTGCTAATGAAATAACTGTAGGGACACGGGGGGAAGCGGTTGCGCTGGAATGGCACCGAAGCGGCATAGGCTTGAGGCACGGGAGCGCGGATTGCATTGGCCTTGGCTTGAGCGCTGTTGTCCTTTTCGGCAGAAAGGAGCGCGGATGAGACCTTGGCAAATGTGAGGTCTGCAGGAGCAAGGCCCAAGAGCATCTTGCGTGTGACTTCGTATGCCGGAGTGAGGCCGACTAGGAGAGCGGCTGCAGGGGCTTGCTCGGGGAAGACTATCCCCAACTGTTTGAGTTCACCATGAATGGAGTGCACCTTGGTGACATAGTCCGCCATGCCTGGCGAGTCCTCGAGCCGCACTTGGAACATGCTGGGGATGAGTATAGCAACTCCCACCGCAGTCTTGTTCAGGAAGCTATCTTCGAGGTAGAGCCAAATGGCGTTGGCAGACGGGTAGTTGTGGTAGGTTTCGACGAGTTTAGGAGGAGTGGTGCCCATGAAGACACTAATGACCGCACCATCGGCCTTCTCCCAATTCTTGTACTTGAGCAGTGCAGCAGCATCAACTGCTTCGGTGGCGGCATTAGCTGGATCGGCGGACCTCTCGGGTTTAGGAGGCTCTTTGCCGTCACGGATGTTGAGAAGGACGTCGGTGAGCTCGAGCCCCTTCACCTCGCGACTGAGGAGGTGCTTGTCGACACCATAGCGCCAAGCCTTGTAGTTGGAGCATGTGCCGTCCGGCTCGAGACGAAGGAGCGGGATCGGGTTGGCGAGTGAAATGGTTGAGTAAGCCATTGTCGGTGTGCAGCGCGGCACTTCTGGAAATTGGTCGACGAGAATTGCTGAAAATCACTCTGACGGCTGTATCAAAATGCCGCTAAGTAGGAAATGGCGTCGGTGAAAATTCGTTAAAAAGCCGACTTGAAACTGAATCTGAGCCTATGTCTAACCCCGGACCCACACACCCCCCTTCACACCCCCAGGCCCTGTCCCGCAGCTACACAGCTCCGCAACCAGCTCCGCAACCAGCTCCGCAACCAGCTCCTCAACCAGCTCCGCTCCGCTTCAACCTGTGTACCTGCTCTTGATTTGACGCGAGACGTTCGTGGAGGCGATTTCGCGAGGGGAGTTCGCCTATTCTGGCGGGGTCTGAGGGGAAACTCGAGAACGAGTTTTAAGAGATGGTCGAAATTGAGATTCGACCAAGGAGAAGCGAGGAGGAAATCGACGATGAGAAGCGTGAAAGCTTCAGAGATGAGAAATTCAACGAGGTCAAGCGCAAAGGCGGTCGACGATGAGAGGCGCGACTGCAGAGTGGAGCACGTCAAAATTCCGACGACTCGAAACGAATGTCGCGACGATGAAGTGCTCGTAGCGCGGGCACGTTGAGATTAGGATCTTGATCCACATGTGCGGATAGGTCGCTCTGATACTATGTAAGAAATAGAGTTGAAAATGATTAATTACGTAAGAAGCCCAAGGCTCTATAAGTACATGGCAAGGTGAGAGAGAATGGATGAAGGGGGAATTGGAGGGAATCCCCATAGGGATCTCTGGAATCTCCAATTGGGTAATTGGAGATTGTGGGGATCACAATTGGGTGAGGTTGGGATTTGTGAGTAAACCCCAACCCACTAGAACATTCACAACCTAAACTAGGATATAAAAGTACAAATACAAAAGTGGTATTTGCAGTCTATTTCTAACAATCGGCCCATGAGGAGTCTGTGTATCCCTCGAGCTTGACTGGAGAGGTACCACCAAGAGTGAGGATATGAGACTTGGTGGCTTGTAGATAGCGGAGGACCCTCTTGGCTGCAGACCAATGCGAGGCAGTGTAGCGTCCGGGGGAGACGTACCGAGAGAGGACACTAACCGGGTAAGCCAAGTCTGGTCGAGTGCACATCATGGCATACATGAGTGAACCGACTAGCTCAGGGTACGGGTCCTTGCAGGCGTCAGGAGAAGGAACTGGAGGGGCCGTGAGCTGATGCTATAGTGGGAGTGGAGTCGAGACAGAGTTACTGGAGTCCATGTCGAACCGCTTGAGAAGGTTGTCGATGTAGGACTCCTGGGAGAGGGTGATCGTGCAAGCCTGGCGGTCACGAGTGATCTCCATCCCCAGGTAGTTCTTGAGGTCACCAAGATTCTTCATGAGAAGGGCGGAGCTGAGAGCAGACTGGACAGCTGCCATGTCGGCTGGATCTCTGGCGGCTAGAATGAAGTCGTCGACGTAGACGAGGATGTAGAAGGGCTCGGAGGAGTGACGAACGAAGAGACTGGAATCTGAGGCAGAGGGATGGAAGTCAAGTGCGAGGAGGACTTCCTTCACCTTGTTGTGCCACTCACGAGGAGCCTGCTTGAGGCCATACACTGGGCGCTTCAGCTTCCACACTGTGTTGGCAGGGTAAGTGCCAGGAAACCCCGGTGGGCGTTCCATGTGAACATCCTCCTTGAGCTGGCCTTGGAGAAAGGCGGAGGAGGCGTCCATGGACTTGATCTCGAAGTTGCCGCGAGCGGCTATATCAAGAAGAGCGCGCACAGTCGGGAGCTTGGCCGTGGGCGAGAATGTTTCGAAGAAGTCGAGATACTCCTTATGGGTGAAACCCTTCGCCACGTATCGTGCCTTGAACAGTGGAGCTTCGCCTGGGAGTTGTTTGACTCGGAAGATCCATTTTCCGCCGACGATGTTGACACCGGAAGGGGGAACAACATCGTCAAAGCTGTTGTTGCGAATGAACGCCTCGTTCTCCACATCCATTGCTGCCTTCCACTCCTTCTTATAAGGCCCCGAGAGAGCTTCCTCTTTTGTGCGAGGAGTCGGAATGGTCGGGTTCTCGGTGAAGTTGAGGGAAGGGCAGTCAGTAATGTCCGGGAAGATGTGAGAGAGAAATTGGCAGACCGCGTGAAGGTCAAACAGCTCCTCATGCCTGTCCTCCAGAAGTGCACGGGGGGGAATACGGATGGAGGGGACATCACCCCCGGCAGGAGGAGGCGGGGTGACCGAACACCGGATGGAGAAGGCGGCTGGTCCCCATGCGAGAGGCGGAGCCGGTCCCTTGGAACGAGTGCGACTAGAGACCGGAGACGAAGGCGGCTGCGGTGGGACCGGAGGGACTGGGCGCCTCCGATAGGAGACTGGTGAGCTGGGCTCGACGCGCGGGGAAGGCGGAGCAGGAGGAGGTGCCACTGCGGAGGATACTGGGGAGGCCAGGTGAGACACGCCGGACGGAGAAGGCCCCGGAGAAGGGGCAGCGGCCGGAGGTGGGGCATCGAAGTCTGCCCAAACAAGCGTCGGGGGAGGTGGAGGAGGCTCGCCCATGGTCGCAGAGTGGAATGGGTGTGTCTCATCGAAGACGACATCACGCCTGCGAATCAGCTGTCTGGTGATTGGGTTGAGGAATAAGTAGTCTGGGGAGTCGGAGTTGTGCCCCAGGTACATGCAGGTCTGGGTTTTGGGACCAAGCTTGCCACCTTGCTTCCTGCGCGTGTGGAGGCTTAGCAACACATACGCAGTACACCCCCAGACGCGTAGAGAGCGGGCGGAAGGCGTGACCCCAAGCCAGAGAGCGGTAGGTGTGGTGTCGGGCCGGTGGGGATGCGGATAAAGATTGTAGAGGAGTGCCGCATGGAAGAGGGCATATCCCCAGAGTGACCGTGGTGCGTTGGCGTGACTGAGGAGGCAGCGAGCGATCTGAACCAAGGTGTGGTTGCGGCTTTCTGCAATGCCATTCTGCTGCGGGCTTTCGGGGAGCGTGAAGGTTTGCCGAATCCCTTGGGCCGCACAGAAGTTATCGAGTTTGCCATTGCGAAATTCTCCCCCGCCATCAGAATGGAGGCACTTCAGAGGAGTGCCGAACGTGACTCGAGCCTGGCGCACCCACGCCATGATGACATCAGGTGCCTCCTCCTTGGTATGAAGGAGGTGCAAAGAAACATACCACTTTTGTATTTGTACTTTTATATCCTAGTTTAGGTTATGAATGTTCTAGTGGGTTGGGGTGTACTCACAAATCCCAACCTCACCCAATTGTGATCCCCCCAATCTCCAATTACCCAATTGTGTTAGTGCGTATTCATTTGCACGTCATCCTGTCGTCTGTTCGCATCATTTCGTTTGCATGTGTTTTGTGTGCTACGTTGTTTGTATGGTTTGTTGGGTTTGCATGTCTTTGCATGTTTATCTTGTGCTTGTGCAGATGTGCTTGGATTGTGCATGACATCGAGCACATTCCAACGAGCCAAGAATTGTTGGAATCGGATCACATATGAAGAAGTTACGAAGAAATGTTTGATGGATTTGTTACAACTCATTGGAAGTCCTTGTCAGCTGCTACACCAAAGATGGAGAGCCCTATAACGAGGAGGGACCAGCATGTGTGGGACTTTTGTCCACACCTTGCAGCTGCAGCATTTGGGGTTTGGAGGCCAACCTGGCACAGTGTGAATTTTGTCTTGCCAGGCTGGCTGAACCTGAGGATGGGGAGTCAAAACTTTGACTCTCGTCATGTTCTTGACCATGGGCCTCCAGGGTCCTTCCCTTTCATCCTTCCCTTCCTACCCCACCTTCCAACTGTGCTTCAATGCCTTTTCTATCATGCCTGTGATCTTGTAAGCTTCAATCATAGTGACTCTGAGGACTGTCAACTTCTCCTAGGACAGATTACCCCCCAGTGCGCCAAACGTCATAGCTCACTCGAGTGATTCAACTTTTATTGGAAAGCTGACGCTGCCGGCTACAACATAGCTGATTTTCAGATCGTTTTACCGATTGGAGTTTTGGATATAGCTTTTCGAAGGTCGCGAGTTTTCTGGGCGTCATAACGAAGTGCTACAGAAATTTCCAAGGAGCCATTGAATCATCTGCTTATAGCCTTCTCCAACCAACAAATTGGAGATTCCGGAGATCTCAATGGGGATTCCCTACAATTCCCCCTTCATCCATTCACTCTCACCTTGCCATGTACTTATAGAGCCTTGGGCTCCTTACCTAATCAATTATTTCAACTCTATTTCTTACATGGTATCAGAGCGACCTATCCGCACACGCGGATCAAGGTCCTAGTCTCAATATGCCCGCGCTACGCGCACTTCATCGTCGCGACATTCGTTTCAAGTCGTCGGAATTTCGACGTGCTCCACTCTGAAGTCGCGCCTCTCATCGTCGACCGCCTTCGCGCTCGACCCCGTTGAATTTCTCATCTCTGAAGCTTTCACGCTTCTCGTCGTTGATTTCCTCCTCGCTTCTCCTTGGTCGAATCTCAATTTCGACCATCTCTTAAAACTCGTTCTCGAGTTTCCCCTCAGACCCCGCCAGAATAGGCGAACTCCCCTCGCGAAATCACCGCCACGAACGTCTCACGTCTAATCAAGAGCAGGTACACACGTTGAAGCGGAGCGGAGCTGGTTGCGGAGCTGGTTGCGGAGCTGGTTGCGGAGCTGTGTAGCTGCGGGACAGGGCCTGGGGGTGTGTGGGGGGGTGTGTGGGTCCGGGGTTAGACATAGGCTCAGATTCAGTTTCAAGTCGGCGTTTTAACGAATTTTCGCCGACGCCATTTCCTACTTAGCGGCATTTTGATAACGAGTGATTTTCAGCAATTCTCGTCGACCAATTTCCAGAAGTGCCGCGCTGCACACCGACAATGGCTTACTCAACCACTTCACTCGCCAACCCGATCCCGCTCCTTCGTCTCGAGCCGGACGGCACATGCTCCAACTACAAGGCTTGGCGCTATGGTGTCGACAAGCACCTCCTCAGTCGCGAGGTGAAGGGGCTCGAGCTCACCGACGTCCTTCTCAACATCGGTGACGGCAAAGAGCCTCCTAAACCCGAGAGGTCCGCCGATCCAGCTGATGCCGCCGCCGAAGCAGTTTATGCTGCTGCACTGCTCAAGTACAAGAATTGGGAGAAGGCCGATGGTGCGGTCATTAGTGTCTTCATGGGCACCACTCCTACCGAACTCGTCGAAACCTACCACAACTACCCGTCTGCCAACGCCATTTGGCTCTACCTCGAGGATCGCTTCCTGAACAAGACTGCAGTGGGAGTTGCTATACTCATCCCCAGCATGTTCCAAGTGCGGCTCGAGGACTCGCCAGGCATGGCGGACTATGTCAACAAGGTGCACTCCATTCATGGTGAACTCAAACAGTTGGGGATAGTCTTCCCCGAGCAAGCCCCTGCAGCCGCTCTCCTAGTCGGCCTCACTCCGGCATACGAAGTCACACGCAAGATGCTCTTGGGCCTTGCTCCTGCAGACCTCACATTTGCCAAGGTCTCATCCGCGCTCCTTTCTGCCGAAAAGGACAACAGCGCTCAAGCCAAGGCCAATGCAATCCGCGCTCCCATGCCTCAAGCCTATGCCGCTTCGGCGCCATTCCAGCGCAACCGCTTCCCCCGCTTCGGTGCCATTCCAGCGCAACTGCTTCCCCCCGTGTCCCTACGTCATCAAGCGCGGCCCTCGTGCTGGCCAGGTGTGTGGCGGCACCAACCACGCCCTTGCCTCCTGCTTTAAGAAGAAGGATGACGAGTGGTATGCCGTCAATGGGACCGCCTCCAAGCCGCCAAGCTGGATGGTCAATCGTGCTCCTGGCCAAGTCAATCAAGTCGAAGCGCAGGAATCCGTGCAGGCTGCTGTGGCTGCACCTGCTGATGTGCGCCTCAACATGTTGTTCCCTGGCACTGCCATGATTAATGAGACAATTTCGCAGTATCCTGGCTCACAAAGCACCTCAGCCACAATAGAGTTCAGCCTTGACAGTGGGGCCACTCACACGGTTCTCAAGGAAGAACACTCGTTCAAGCCATACAAGACACCAATCCGTCTACTTGGAGCAGACTCCAGTTTCACAACACACGCCAAGGGCTCCTCCACAGTTCCGTGCCCAGCTTTTCCTTCGGACAATGTGACTGGCATGTGTGTTCCCACACTACGCCACAATCCCGTGGCCCAATACGAGCTCCAACGGGCAGGCGTCACCACGATCTTCCCAGCACACTCGGATCCCTGTGACCTCTTCGACCCTAAGTCCATCAAGCTCCTAGCACGCTTCACACTCAACAGTAGCAAGCTCTACAGGCTGCGTTCACCTGCACCTCTTGCTGCCCTCTCCCAAGCGCAAGCTGCCAGCACCACTCCGTGTTCGTGTCGCAGCTTCGCCAACCCAACCATCCTCTACCACCATCGCTTGGGTCACCCCAACTTCCGTACACTTGCCGACATCGCTTCCAAGAAACTTCTTCTTGGCCTCCCGTCGGCGCTTCCTCCACCAACAGACTCGCCTGCACCCACCTGCGTGGACTGCACCAAGAGCAAGCTCAGGCAGCAGCCGCACCCTTCCTCCCCATCCGTCGCAGCTGCTCCGCTGGACCTAGTGCACATGGATGTCTGGGGCCCAGCTCCAGTCGCATCCCGAGGCGGTCATCGGTACTTTCTTACACTAGTCGATGACCACTCGCGGTATGTTTCTGTGCACCTCCTGCATACCAAGGCGGAGGCACCTGATGTCATCATGGCGTGGGTGCGCCAAGCTCAAGTCACGTTCGGCACTCCTCTGAAGTGCCTCCATTCTGATGGCGGGGGAGAATTTCGCAATGGCAAACTCGATAACTTCTGTGCGGCCCAAGGGATTCGGCAAACCTTCACGCTCCCCGAAAACCTGCAGCAGAATGGCATTGCAGAGAGCCGCAACCACACTTTGGTTCAGATCGCTCGCTGCCTCCTCAGTCACGCCAACGCACCACGGTCACTCTGGGGATATGCCCTCTTCCATGCGGCACTCCTCTACGATCTTTATCCGCATCCCCACCGGCCCGACACCACACCTACCGCTCTCTGGCTTGGGATCACGCCTTCTGCCCGCTCTCTACGCGTCTTGGGGTGTACCGCGTATGTGTTGCTAAGCCCCCACACGCGCAGGAAGCAAGGTGGCAAGCTTGGTCCCAAAACCCAGACCTGCATGTACCTAGGGCACAACTCCGACTCCCCAGACTACTTATTCCTCAACCCAATCACCAGACAGCTGATTCGCAGCCGTGATGTCGTCTTCGATGAGACACGCCCATTCCACTCTGCGACCACGGGCGAGCCTCCTCCACCTCCCCCGACGCTTGTTTGGGCAGACTTCGATGCCCCACCTCCGGCCGCTGCCCCTTCTCCGGGGCCTTCTCCGTCCGGCGTATCTCACCCGGCCTCCCCAGTATCCTCCGCAGCGGCACCTCCTCCTGCTCCGCCTTCCCCGCGCGTCGAGCCCGGCTCACCAATCTCCTATCGGAGGCGCCCAGTCCCTCCGGTCCCACCGCAGCCGCCTTCGTCTCCGGTCTCTAGCCGCACTCGTTCCAAGGGACCAGCTCCGCCTCTCGCATGGGGACCAGCCGCCTTCTCCATCCGGTGTTCGGTCACCCCGCCTCCTCCTGCCGGGGGTGATGTCCCCTCCATCCGTATTCCCCCCCGTGCACTTCTGGAGGACAGGCATGAGGAGCTGTTTGACCTTCACGCGGTCTGCCAATTTCTCTCTCACATCTTCCCGGACATTACTGACTGCCCTTCCCTCAACTTCACCGAGAACCCGACCATTCCGACTCCTCGCACAAAAGAGGAAGCTCTCTCGGGGCCTTATAAGAAGGAGTGGAAGGCAGCAATGGATGTGGAGAACGAGGCGTTCATTCGCAACAACAGCTTCGACGATGTTGTTCCCCCTTCCGGTGTCAACATCGTCGGCGGAAAATGGATCTTCCGAGTCAAACAACTCCCAGGCGAAGCTCCACTGTTCAAGGCACGATACGTGGCGAAGGGTTTCACCCAGAAGGAGTATCTCGACTTCTTCGAAACATTCTCGCCCACGGCCAAGCTCCCGACTGTGCGCGCTCTTCTTGATATAGCCGCTCGCGGCAACTTCGAGATCAAGTTCATGGACGCCTCCTCCACCTTTCTCCAAGGCCAGCTCAAGGAGGATGTTCACATGGAACGCCCACCGGGGTTTCCTGGCACTTACCCTGCCAACACAATGTGGAAGCTGAAGCGCCCAGTGTATGGCCTCAAGCAGGCTCCTCGTGAGTGGCACAAGGTGAAGGAAGTCCTCCTCGCACTTGACTTCTATCCCTCTGCCTCAAATTCCAGTATCTTCGTTCGTCACTCCTCCGAGCCCTTCTACATCCTCGTCTATGTCGACGACTTCATTCTAGCCGCCAGAGATCCAGCCGACATGGCAGCTGTCCAGTCTGCTCTCAGCTCCGCCCTTCTCATGAAGGATCTTGGTGACCTCAAGAACTACCTCAGGATGGAGATCACTCGTGACAGCCAGGCTTGCACGATCACCCTCTCCCAGGAGTCCTGTTGGTGCAACCCTATGGCTTGCACTCGGCTTGTCGTCCTTGT